ATAGCGCTCGAGAGAGTGTGTGTCTCTCTCTCTCTCTCTCTCTCTCTCTCTCTCTCTCTCTCTCTCTCTCTCCTCCTTGTCCTCATAGTACCTGGTATGTGATTTTAATATATAAAGTGTTTCTCATTAATATTCTATTAGGTGCATGCATGTGGGTCTGTTTCCATTGGCTTCTCTCTCTGTTCAGGCTGCTCTAGGGCCTCTAGGGGCCTCTCTGGTCCCTTGAACTGGTCCCTTATAACTCATTTGAATCTCATGCGATTACTGTAACAGCTCCTATAAAACTCCAGGTTGTGGTAATTTACTGCCCTCCGGGGCAAATTCTAGCCACCTTCCTAGAGGAGCTGGATGGGCTGCTGTCCTCATTCCCGGAGGATGGCAGTCCACTTTTAGTCTTTGGCGACTTCAACATTCATCTGGACAAGCCTTATGCTACAGACTTCCATTCACTCCTGTGTGTGGAATGTGAATGCAGCAACTGACACTTTATGCTCTACTTTAACCTCTTGTCTAGATGATATTTGTCCTCTCTCCTCCAGGGCTGCCCCTTCTAACCCCTGGTTATCCGATGTTCTTCGTGAGCATCGGACCAAACTCAGGGCAGCAGAGAGAAAATGGTGCAAATCAAAAGATCCGTCAGACCTGAGTATGTATCAGTCTTTGCTTTCATCTTTCTCTGCTGAAGTCCATACGGCCAAATCTTCATACTTCCACAACAAGATCAACAGCACTCCAGACACACATAATCTCTTCAAAACATTCAATTCTCTCCTCTGTCCCCCTCCACCACCTCCCACCACTTCTATAACAGCTGATGATTTCGCCACATTCTTCACAGACAAAACCAGAACAATCAGTAGTCAATTCTCAGCCCCACACACACAGGACTTCAAACCAACTACACCCACTGCTAAAACTCCCATATTCTCCTTTTGTCCCCTCACTGAGGCAGAAGTATCAAAACACTAACGGAGCATGCTGCACAACTTCTTGTCCAGGCCCTTGTCATTTCTAGGCTGGACTACTGCAATGCTCTTCTGGCTGGACTTCCATCAAGCACAATCAAACCTCTACAAACGATTCAGAATGCAGCGGCATGACTAGTCTTCAACAAGACCAAAAGAGCCCATGTTACACCTCTCTTTATCTCCTTGCACTGGCTACTGGTTGGGGCTAGCATCAAGTTCAAGACATTGATGCTTGCATATAGAACAGCCACAGGCTCAGTACCCGCCGGCGCCTACTTCCACTCACTGTTACGAATCTACATCCCCACCAGATGTCTGAGATCTGCTAGTGAGCGACGCCTCGTGGTACCATCACAAAGAGGCTCAAAATCACTTTCCAGAACATTCTCGTTCACCATTCCTGACTGGTGGAATGATCTTCCCACCCCTATCCGGAATGCTGAATCCCTGACAATTTTCAAGCGACAGCTGAAAACTCGTCTCTTTCGACGCTACTTGACTTCATCCTAAATTTAAAATAAAACCAAAACTTTGTCTTTCTCTTTATTTATTCCTTCCCTTTCTAGCTTTTACTTATTTGAACAATGCCTCTCCTCAACCACCACCAGTGTGCAGCATCCACTTGGATGATGCGACGGCAGCCACAGTACAACAGCGCCAGTGCGCTTCACTCACCACACACCAGCTACAGGTGGAGAGTAGAGAGAGTCATAGAGCCAAGGTTTACTGTCTGTCAGTACAGTGTTGAGGTTTACTGCTGTATCAGAGCGAGGGTGTATGTTTATTATGTTTTAGTAAAATGACTTTGATTTTTGGCTCATTTGAACGGTTCCTCCTGCCTAAAATGACAGATACTCTATGGAACATTTTATAAACAGTTTTTGTATGCAAGTTTCCAAGAGACTAAAATCCCTGAACCCCACTTTTTCAGCCCCATTAATTCCAGCTGTTTTCTGGACTGATCTGTCTCAATTGAAAGCTGCTATGGGCCTGTTTTCAGCAGACCTGAATCAGATTGAGCTGTAGAATTTTTCCCAGCAGAGTTTTAGAGCAGTAGTTGTTCTTTCTTAGGAAGATTGAGTTTTCTTTGGAAATTGAAGGTTCATACAGTGCCTTACTGATAAGAAACTCAGGATTTAGAAAACAAGATTATCAATTCACATCCTGTTACAGGAGCAAACATATGGATCACATTCCCAATCATTTACTAATAAACAGCAACTGAGGGCCTGTCTATTCCTGTCTGTAAACCAGCTGTAAAGTGAAGGGATAGTTCACCCAAAAATGACAATTATGTCCTTTACTTAGCATTGTGCCGTAAACCATGGCAAGTAAGATGGCACTTTTTCCACATGCTCATTACAAAGATGACTCCTCGGCATTAGCCAGACATTATGTATAATCACCTATTTTTGTAAGTAATGCTGTTGTTTTTGTCTGTAGGTTGTGTAGTCTGACTTTGAAGAAGCTAGTGGTGATGAAGGAACTTGACAAGGAGCTGATTTCTGTCGTCATTGCAGTCAAGATTCAGGTTAGCCATCAGCTTCATAAAGTGTATGTTGTTTTTTAACTGCAGCATGTCTAGATTTTTTTGCAACAAAGAACACAACATTTAAGACAATAAACAAAATATTCTAAGAGGGTTACAATACATGAGATTCTGAAATGAATGAAAGTGTATTAAAGTAAGTATTACACCACTGAAGAGTCTTGCAAGCAATTAATTTTTAGAGTTTCCTCAAAGAATTAAAATATATATCAACATCTTTCATGAAAATAAAAATAAAGGTATTTTCTTTGAACATTTGCATTTATGAATATAATATTTTAAAATTAATATGAAAAGGGTCTCTTTTAAAAGAGTCACCAAAAATAAAAAAACATAATGACTAATTAAGAGGATAATTGTTTCTTCAGAGTGATAATAGAAGGAGCATTTAAGTGAAACACAGCATGTGTTTAAATAAAGTGACTGTTTGTGCCTGTAGGGCTCCAAGCGAATCCTCCGCTCCCATGAGATAGTGCTGCCCCCTGCTGGTGTGGTGGAGACTGATCTCGCTCTCACATTCTCACTACAGGTAAAGATATCCCCAAAACACACATTTTCGAATTGCTCAATCATAAATGGCTATAAAAACAATGGCTCTGAACCAAAACATAGTGAACTGACTAGTTATCTACTACTTACATTGACAGCTGCCTTGCCTGACAAAGAACCTCTAAAGTGATTGATTTGGAACACTCTGCATCACTCTTTGCAATGCGCTGATGGATTGCTTTTTGCTGCATGTATACAAGTATGCATGCTGAGCTGCCTTGAAATTCAAACAAAAGGAAGGTATCATAGAAACAGACTTTGCTTTGGGAGTGTGTCTGCAAATGCTTTCTTTGTAGGCAGCTTACTAGGTTTTGAAACAGAGCCAATATTGCTTTTAAGACATCATCATTTCAGTGTGCTCTGAATCATTCTAGAGTTTTATTATGAAACTGAATTTGATGTTTTTCTTCTATCTCTCTCTCCTGTGTGTGCATGTTTTTATACGAGCAGTACCCTCATTTTCTGAAACGCGAGGGAAATAAGTTGCAAATCCTGCTTCAGCGGAGGAAGAGGTACAAAAACCGAACAATTTTGGGTTACAAGACTTTGGCTGCTGGCTCTATAGACATGGCAGAGGTATTTCAGATTCCTCAGTGAGGTTAATAGAGACTTTTGAAGCATGCAGATGCTTACATGCTGATTTGTTTGTGTGTGTAGGTGATGCAGCATCCTGCAGAAGGTGGGCAGGTCTTGGCTCTTTGCAGTAATCAGAAGGAGTTTCTGGGTAAAGTTGCAGAGATTTGGATCTATTCCCTGTCCAGTCAGCCTATAGACCACGAGGAGGCAGCCATTCTGGGACAGAAAATCAAATGTTCTGGTAAAAAAAAATTCATACATACTCATCTATTTTTAATTAGTCTATGACATGTCTCTGGCAATAACAAATTGTGTTCTCTATGTGTGATGTGAAGTTATACACTAAACAGGTGTTTTGTTTCTATATTGTGTATTTTAGTGTGACTGTTGCTATCGGCACCTTATCAGATTTCTGCACGAGTTGCTGTGCACGTTTATTCATAAAATTAACTTAATTTCTTACAAAAAGTTTATTAATGATTATTCAAAATATACAGTATATTCTGTTTCAGACCAGACATACAGATTCTCTTTTATAATACCAAACTCATAATTTAAATCCATTGGTTCTAATTTTTTTTTAATGGACTATCTAACCAATTTTCCAGAGGTCCCTCCTTTATGATTATTAGCAAGTATTTTTTCCTCATTTATAATTTAGAATATTTTCAGAATATGAAGTGCACCCTGAGATTTTAAGTTAATATTTCAATAACACCACATTCATGGTTCTCTACTGCTGGTTAATGGTCACATGACATGCAGGTAAACAAATAAAATATAACTTTTATTATTTTTAATAAGTGTTTCATTCATTCTCATCTTTGATTTTTTTTTTAATTTACATTTTTTTAAATGATTATTTGGCTTTTCATCACCTCATGAACCCCTCAAAACCTCAGTTTGGGAGACCTTCATTATAGTGCTTTTGCATACTAACTCTTTTAACTTCCTTTTAATTATTATTTTTTATTTAAAGCAAATGTATATATATATTATTGTCCATTTATGAGTTATCATAAATGCATTATTATCATAGCATTATTTAAAAATCATTATTGGTTTATCATATCAGCCAAAATTTCAATATCGGAACATCACTAGCTGGAACGCTGTATTGACCAATCAGTATTCAGGACTGGACCTGTCCTTTTTATAATATTGTTTACTTGACTTGGTAGATAATTACTCAGAAGAAGAGTATGAAAGCTTCTCATCGGAGCAGGAGGCCAGTGATGACGCAGCACAAGGACAGGTGATTACATACACACATACAAACAAAGCAACCTCATTTCCCTCTTTTTCTGCTGACTCATGTATGTACATGCTCCTCAGGATCTTGAGGATGACGAGTATGAGATAAGGAAACCAAAAAAGCAAAGGAGGTCAATAGTCCGGACGGCGTCGATCACCAGGGTAAGAATGCCAGAGAACAATGAGAATTTACTCAGTCATCACTGTCAGATGTCATTGTGTAGTAAACAGACTGTTAATATGAGTGTGTATGTCTGTGTGTGTGCTTCTCTTTCTCCATTAGCAGCAGAACTTTAAGCAGCGCGTGGTGGCATTGCTCAAACGGTTCAGAGTTTCTGATGAGGTGGGTAAAAATATAGAGTGTATTTGTTCTTAAGCGAGGTGAAGTGTTTAAATACGTGTTAGTCAGGTTGTGCTGACTTGTGCGGTGAACCAATATGTTTTGGACACTTTTTTTGACATCTCAGTGGAACAAATCCATGTTTGTGTGCATACTTGAACCAGATGTACTTTAGATTTACTACTAAGACCTCTCACCTTTGACATGATATTATAAAGTCAAGCCAAGCCACCTTTATACTGTAGTGCTTAGTAAAATACAGATTATTTCAAAGCGGCTTCATAGTCATAAAAAGGTGATGCAAACTTCATGAAAATTAGGCAAATTCAAATTCTACTGTAAAGCAGCTCTAAAAAGACAATTGTGTCATTATTGTCATTCAGATCAAGTCAGGTTAGTTTGATTCAGTTCATTAAGTGTGTAAAGTTAATCATTTATGAAACAAGTTTAATTCATCTATACAGAAAACAATAGTTTTAGCATCCTGCTCAATTTATTTCAAGGATTGTTCTCATCCAATAGTGTCAGTGCAGTCAAATCGATAATATTACTGAATTTTGAGTGTTTTTTAAACCAAATCTAAGCAAGCCACAAGCAACAGTGGCAAGGAACCCAGACTCCATAAGGTGACAGAAATGAAGAAAAAAACCTTAAAGAGTAACCAGGTTAATAAATTAATGAACACGCTGTAATTGTATGATTTATTTCACCTAATAAAATAATTTTTTAGTTGTAGGTAGGTGATTTCTTCTCCTGTTGTATGATTCTGTTCAGTCTGTGAGTCAGCGGACACAAGGCCTGACCCTTGCCTGGCTCCACAGATTAATTTAGCCATGCATAATCAGCACTGCTACGGAAACCGAATCCTTGTTTGCTGAAAATCTTGTATAGTATGTATATTATAAACATTATGCAAATGTTTATACTGTATGCATGGAAATAACTAGATGAGCTGCTGTAGTTGCCAAAATTGCACAATTTCCCCCCACAAAATGCCCACAATGCAAAGCACTCAATTTGACCCTCAATTTTCAATGTAACGAACTTAAATAATGTTTTTAATTTTTTTAATGTTGACACATTTTATACATAATTGGATTAAAAATACTTGCTGAATTAACAATGCAACAAGAGGAGGGCATGTTACAAACATAGTATAAAAAAGTCTAATAATAGGCAGTATAAAGTATCCACAGTAGTATTCAGCAAGTAGTAAGCTAGTATTTGGTTCCTGCACCATTCTATATATTCAGCATTTTAGACATATAACCAGTAAGCATGAAAATGAAAATGCTGCCCACAGCAAAATAAACACATGCCACATTGGGTTCAGAGGTCAGTCCTCTTCTGAAGGACAGGAAGTGTGTGGTGATGTACAGAAACAGCAGTGACGTCCAGCGGGACAGAAACATGATCTCATCAGCATTATGTCTCCGGTTACTGATACTGTTCTGACAGGACGCTGATTCTTATTATGGAGCCATCTGAAACCTGACCGAAGGTTTTCACAAATATTTTATTAAAGGAAGCTATTTAGCAGTTAGAACTGTCAGTAGGGTTACGTTCAGAATCGAATACTAGCTTTCATCTTCCTAAATATTGCCCAGTATATATTGTATACTGACTAATATTTCAAAAACAGTAGTATGAAAAATGGTATAGCCATTAATCAATGAAACATCTCAAACAGTAGTATGCTACATTGTTGTCACATGACCTCCTAATGTTGCATGTTTAATTTAGCAAGTGGTTTCCCTGTAAAATATGAAAATAAAAACTGGTATTATGTATTTTAGTCCACTTTGTGTAAAATTGTGTTGTTATTGTTAACTATCCCACATGGTTTCTGTTCATCAAAATAAAGCTGAAATAAAATAAAATATAAAAATTGGATGAAAAACTTTGAAATGTTGCCTTGGCAACTAACTGAAATAAAATAAGTTGAAGTTGAAGTACTGAAATTACTAAAGCTAAAACTGAAATAAAAATAAATTCTGAAAATAAAATGAATGAAAGCTAATAGAAATATTTGTAACTAATAAAAATGACAAAAACAACAAAATTACTACAAAATGTACAATTCAAATGAAAAAAAAAAAAAAAGAAGCTAAATATGATTTCAGTAAATAACACTGGTGTAAAAATTTTATTTGGTAGTCCAGTCAAATAATAAATCAAGAAAGAGATACATTTGAAGACGTTTATTTATATACAGTAGCATGTTTAATACACAATGCTAATCCAAAGTGTTTACATAAAAAATATTGAAAAAAAAAAAGTATACACACTACATACTGCAATAATATGGTAGTATGCTGTTGTCAACATAGTCAAAAACAATGACGAACTTTATCTGAGACTTTTAGCATTTTTTTTTTTTGTAAATTGATATATCCAGGGAAAGCAAACTCTTTAAAAATGGAATTTTGGAATTTTATTTGAGATTACATACTCAGTCCTCGTGTAATATGAGTATTTATTTGATAACATCTAATATAGTAGCAGAAATGACATTAGTGCATTTAGCTCAATCAGCAGCAGCTTGTTAAAATCTTTTAAGAAGCTGGATTTACACTGAACATTGCTGGTTGCAAACAAAGTCCTTGATTGATTTCCTCTCTCATTAATAATAGTCAGGAACATCACATGGCGCTTTGGGATCGATTCCCCTGCAGCTGAGTCTGAGTGTTTTCTGTTTCATCAGATTATGCTTGACCCTCTGTCTCACCATTCCTCACGTTCCTGCAGTTCAAATGAGGAATAAATAATGTTTAAATGTTTGTAGGTGTTAGACTCAGAGCAGGACCCAGCCGAGCCGCCTCCAGAAGTAGAGGAAGATCTGGATCTGGAGAGTTTAGAGTTTGAGAATCCGAGTGACAGTGGACCGGATCTGGATGATGATGAAAGTGTTCTCAGCACCCCAAAACCCAAACTCAAGTATGTTGAGAAGAGAGTTTGTTCATTAGTGTTTATTTAGTGCATATATTAATGTTGAGATGTGTGTTATTTTATTAACCCTGCTGTGTTTACCTTTTTGTGTCTGTGCTTGGATTAGGCCATATTTCGAAGGAATTTCTCTATCCAGCTCTCAGACAGAAATTGGCAGTATTCACAGTGTTAGGAGTCAGAGAGAGCCGCCCAGTCCAGTAAGAGCATGTGTTTTAGGAGATATTTGAATGCACACATAATAACATACACTTAAATTGACTTGAAATAAAGATAATTATACTAACCTAATACTAACCCTTTCCAAATATATATATATGTGCCATTCAAACCTTTGTAGTCAGTAATATATATATATATTTTTTTTTTTATTCAGCAAGAACACATTAAATTGGTCAAAATATTTATGATGTTACAAAAGATTTCTATTTCAAATAATTGCTGTTCTTTTGAATGTTCTATTCATTAAAGAATCCCCCCCAAAAAATCCTCAAAAATATTAAGCAGTGTTCAACATTGATGATAAAAAGAAATGTTTCTTAATCATCAAAATCAGCATATTAAAATGATTTCTGAAGGATCATGTGACACAAAAAACTGGAGTAATGGCTGCTGAAAATTCAGCTTTGTCATCAAAGGAATAAATTATATTTGTAAAATATTAAAATTGAAGTACTTCTATAAAATAGAAATAATAATATTTTAAATTGTATTATTGTTTTACAATACTGTTTTTATTGCATTTATGATCAAATAAATGCAGCTTTGAGCATTAGAGAGTTCTTCAGAAAGATTAAAAAAAAACTTACTGACCCCAGATTTTGGAATGGTAATATATAGACATTATTTTTAACCAATTTTCCCTATGAGGAGGAAGTATGAGCTAGGTTAGAAACACAAACACTTCAGCTTAAAGGGTCATGAAACTACTTTTTCTGAGATTTTAGCAGAGATGTTTGTGTTGCACATCATAGAGTGCAACACAAACAATGTTAGCATCCGATAATTTTAACTCTTGGAGAACACTGGTTCATTTGAAGCATTTTTGCTCTATTTTCATCTTCCGGGTTTAAAATCTACATCGTGTTGATATCACAATTTGTGACGTGGCAATTGACTATAGTACATGGATGACGCGTTGGTGTCTATTAAATTATTCATGAGACTGCGCGTTCTTATCCTATGAGAAGATGCTTCGCTTAATTATTCACAACAGCATGTGTTGATTTGCTATGACAGACGCTTCAGACTGTGAGATGACATCGCGCACGTTAACTGAGAGAAACGTTCATGGATCGAAGAAGAGTGTTTGTTTTTGCTTTGTAATAAGAGTTCGGCACAAACATGATTCATTCACTTGGTGAGCATAACCGTTTTTACAGCTCTGTTGTTTTACACAACCCGTCAAAAGGCTTATATAAACGCAGCAGAATAAGCCTTAAAGGGGTCATATGATGCTTTTTTAAAGATCATTATTTTGTGTATTTGGCTCTCTCTCTCTCGCGCTCTCTCTCTCTCTCTCGCTCGCTCGCTCACGCTCTCTCTCACTCTCTCTCGCGCACGTTCTCTCTCTCGCTCGCGTTCTCTCTCTCTCTCGCTCGCTCGCTCTCGCTCTCTCTCACACACACACACACACGATGCGCAAAAAGGGATCTTATCTATGCACAATCAGCTTGTAACACTCCAAAGAGAAAGGAAAACTTGAAATCGCATCATATGACCCCTTTAAAAGTTCTCAGAGCTGCAACAGCACGTTCATATATATGTTTTCGATGCAGAGTGCAAATGGCTGTGTATTTATTTGTGTTTTTAACTCGATCTGTCTCCCCTCTTCCCCCTCCACTCCGCTGCGCACCACGCCCACTTTTTTAGCATTTTTAAAAAAATTGGTGAGAACTAATCAGTGCTGAAACGGGGGGTTTCATGACCCTTTAATCAATCCTCAGCTAACTCTCTACCTCTCTCTCTCTTTCTCTGTTCAGATGGATCCTGATAAAATAAGGGCTGTAGGTGGAAAGTTTCAGATGGATAATGAATCAGATAATGTTTCAATGGTACGTCCTTCACCACTGTAATATATTCTCTGAATATAAGATCAAGACTCACATGCTTGTTTAGAGTTGAGCTCTAGCAGACACTAAAGCTGAATCACAGCTAATGACTCACCCACACTGAATCAACATGTGATGTAGTGGCAGCAGTGAAAAATAATGTAATTTTGTTCAAACTCTGATATCAGTTTTCTGACAATTTAACATATTTGGCCTTTATAATGTGTCTTTTTATTTGACATTATTTCACCCAGCCCTAGTCCATACAAACAGGCTGTAAAGAGGTTGTATATAGTATAACATGTGTTTTTGAAGTTTTATTATGTGTGTTTCTGGGCTTTAGGGTCATCCAGAGGTTGTGACCCCTACCACAGAACTGGAGATGATGGACAACGTGGACTCTTTCATGGAGAGGTTGCCTCCTACAGGCCGGATGACCAAAACGGAGTCACTTATCATTCCATCCAACCGGTGAGGATACATAAACCCTTTATCACTGTGGTTAGATGAAAAGAGTATGATAGATCTTACTTATTTTAGATTACTGTCAAGGTGCTATACATTTTTTTTAAACAAAGGTCTGGTGTTTTTTTTTTTTTTCATCCTGTTTAGTGTTTTTGTTTAAAAAAAAAAAAAAAGTTCAGCAATATGAACAACTTTCTCTCTTCACCTGAAGGGTGGAGCCAAAGTTGGCGGGGCGACGGGGGCGGAGCACATCACTTAAAGAGAAGCAGCCCAGTCGACCGCCCAATGAGAGGGCCAACAGTCTGGACAACGAGCGCTCGTTTGACACACGCTGCCACCTACAGGTCAGATAGAACCTCGCTGCACACAAATATACTCCAGTTACTAAAGAGAAGCAGCAGTTTGTACTTCATAAACACATTGCATTACACCAAATACACCAAATAATGTTCTTTTTTAGCAATGTCATATGACCCCTTTAACTAATTTGGTCTCTATTTGGTCTCGGTCTGGTTAGATTCCACGCAAAACGGTTTATGACCAGTTGAACCACATCCTGGTGTCAGACAGCCATCTTCCCGACAGCATCATCCTTATTAACACCTCAGACTGGCAGGGCCAGGTATGATTGACAGCTGGCAACACAATATGGCAGGTTCTGTGATGGCACATATTGCGAATTTTCAGCTGTAGATTTTGGCCGGTGATGTAAAGCTTACGTATTGGTATCATTTTATATGTTTTTTTATTTGTAACGATAAATCATAATACAATTATTTTAGCTGTGAATATTACAAAAACACAAATTCTACAAATTAAAAAATATATATTTTCACTACCATTGAAAGTTTTGGGGCTGGTCATTATTAATTTTTTTTCTTGTCCTTTATACTCATCAAGGCTGAAAAAATACAAAAGTAATTTAATATGTAATTAACAATCTAAAACTCTTCACTGTCACTTTTGATCAATTTAATGCATCCTTACAGGATAAAAGTATTCATTTATTTAAAAATAAATCATACTGGCCCCAAACTTTTGAGTGGTAGTGTATATTTTAATAACCATGACTAAAGTAATCTTTTTGTCTCAGTATGTATCTGAGGTGTTACAGAATCATGGTCTTCCTGTTGTTTGTACGTGCACCATGGCTGACATACAGGCTGCACTCAGCACCATCATCTCTCGCATACAGAGATTGTAAGTCACTTGAAGCAAATAGACACTTCATTTGAAGTACATCTGCCATTTGGTTTCCGGTTTTTCCGGGATAGTGACACACTATGTACTTGTTTCTCCTTTTATCTTTCTCTCTAGTTGTAACAGTAACTCAGTCACGCCGTCTCCAGTGCGGATCGGAGTAGCAGGAGCTCAGCATTACCTTTCTGTTGTTTTGCGTTTATTTGTGGATCACCTGACACACAAAACCCCCGACTGGCTTGGATACCTGCGATTCCTTATCATCCCACTTGGTAAGTGCAGAGGTCAGGGGAAAAAATGAGCCAATAAAACACTACTAGAAGAGCTAAAAAGCATGTGTATGTGTAGGGGTTCATCCAGTGGCTAAATATCTGGCCAGTATAGACTACAGATATAACAGCCTGTTCCAGGACTCAGCGTGGAGAGATCTTTTCCACAAACCAGAAGCGCCAACCTCAGGTAACCGTCTCTGATATACTCATTCTCTCTCCATTCTATCCATCTGCAAATAAATATGTAAATAAATAAAAAAGTGTTGTGCATATTAAAAAATATAATAAATTATTTAACATTGTTATTATTATTATTATTATTAAAAAATTGTTATTTAATAATACATTCAATAGTTTAATGTAAACCTTCACATAATAATATATATTTAGTATTTTATAGTAATATTATAATGATATATAATTAGAGATATTTAAATATTAAATTAAACTAAATATTTAAATTACAATATTTCTATATTGTGTAATATATTTTATATTCTATTTTTAAATTATATATATATATATACAGTGGGTACGGAAAGTATTCAGACCCCCTTCACCCCCTTGTGTCAGTATTTTGTTGAACCACTTTTTGCTTTAATTACAGGCTTTTGGGATATGTTTCTCAAGTTCAGTTAAATTTGATGGTGAGCGTTTGTGTACTGCAGTCTTCAAGTGTCTCTACTAACTTTGCACATCTAGACTTTGCCATATTTGCCCACTCTTCTTTGCAGAACTGCTCGAGTTCAGTTCAATTGTATGGTGACCGTTTTGTAGACTGCAGTCTTCAAGTCATTCCACAGATTATAGGACCTCTTTAAGTCTGGGCTCTGACTAGGCCATGCAAGGACATTCACCTTTTTCTCCTTTAACCATTGTGTGGTCAGTTTTGCTGTGTGCTTTGGGTCATTGTCATGTTGTCATCTTCCCATTGACAACGTTCTGGCAGAGGGCGGCAGATTTTCCTCAAGAATCCGAGAGTATTTTGCCCCATCCATTTTTCCTTCTATCCTGACAAGTGCTCCTGTCCCTGCTGCAGAGAAACACCCCAGAACAGGATATCACCACCTCCATGTTTTACTGTAGGAATGCTGTTATTTGGATGGTGAGCACATCGTTTGGTGTTGAGGCCAAATAATTCAATTTTATTGTCATCTGCCTCAGAAACTTCAAGGTGTGTTTTGGCAAAGCTCAGGCGTGACTGCATGTGGCCTTTCTTGAGGAGTGGCTTTTTTCTTGCAACCCTCCCATACAAGCCACATTTGTGGAGAATTTGTGATATTGTTGTCACATGCACACAATGACCACTCTTTGTTATAAATTCCTGCAACTGCTTCAGAATTGCTGTAGGCCTCTTGGTAGCCTTTCTGACCAGTTTCCTCCTGGCTCTTTCATCCAGTTTGGAGCGACGTCCCGATCCAGGGAGGGTCTGTGTTGTACCAAATACCTTCCACTTCTTAATAATACACTTCACTGTGCTTCTAGGCATTGATAAAGCCGTTGAAATTTTCTTGTGTCCATCTCCTGACTTGTGCCTGTCCACAACTTTATCCCGGCGGTCTTCTGACTGTGCCTTGCCACCCATATTTGTTTGCTTCAGTTGCACTACCAAGGGCTGAAATGCTCCAGGAAAGCTCTTTTCATGCTGAGCTAATCAAAATGAGCACAGCTGATCACAGTTGAAAGTCAAATGGCTTTGTGTGCCATTGAGAAGGTGATTAGCTAAACAGTAATTTTAATGTGGGGGCGTTCCTTTTTCCAACTCTGTGATTCTGTTTTTTTATTTTTTCTGACATGTTGGCATTATATCTTTCACTTGGATGTTATAAGTTGCTCTGAGTAAATACAGCTGGATAAAACAAAAACTGTGTCTGTCTTCACTTCAGGCTGCAAAGCAACAAAATGTGATCATTTAAAAAATAAAAATAAAAAAAAATCTAAGATTTTAAAGGGGGTGATTCTTTTCTATACACACTGTAAATGTACACACACATACATTTTTATAAATGTATAAAAAAAAATTCTCTTTTATTCTCTGTCAACATCCAGCAGTTCAGGACAGTCCAGATGTGGTTTCCAGGGTAACGCAGTATATGTTGGGAGCGAATGGAGCTCTTCAGCTGCCCATAGCAGAGGCCATGCTTACCTATAAGCAGAAAAGGTGATACACACATGCACAGAGCAGCCCAGATGTATATTTTTATAAAAGAATTAAACCTTTCAGAGGAGGCAACATAAAGGTTGTATGATTTCAGTGTAATTTTAACTTGGTGTACCACTCTATAATAAAACATATTCAAAGATAATGAGTGTGACAATTGTATTTGCCTAAATACAATTAAAAGAATATCAGTAATCTTTTAATATAAAAGTGCTTTGAATATGTGTTATTAGAGGCTGGGTTCATTTTCAGATGCTCTGAAGATGCAGATAGTTGGTTTTCTGCTCAAAAACACACTCGATCCATTTTGTTCGTTTATCCAGATATTTGCATCTTTTTCATGAGCATCCTCCTCCTTAAAGTCATGTTTGGACAGCAAGCATGTGAATGTCACTGTTTATCATCTCTGTCTGTAAATAACATACTTTATTTTTTATTTTCCTTGCCCTCTCTGAAGGAAAAAGAGCTTTCATTTTGATTTTGCAGTAAGGTATTGTGGTCTTCCTGCCTGTGCTGATACCGTAGCCAATCAGATACATATCACCTTCAGTCTCTTACTTCCTTTCACTCGCTCACTCTTCTCCTATTTTATCAAGGAGAGTTATAAACTGAAGGAGAGCAGAGATTCTGTTGAAACTCTAGAGATTCTATCCACACTTCAAGATTTATGCTCTATGTGGTGGGGCTACTTTTCCTGTAGCTGCTATATTGAGCATTGCAGTTTCTCTCTTTTATTTCTCTAAAAGTGGTCCATCTCCTCCACCTTCTGATGTTTTTGGAATTGGCCGTTTAATTGTATAATAAAGGCTGCAGTGTGGAATGAATCTGAAGGTTTTATTGGATCTCTTGCTGCAGTGGGATATGAATATTACCTCCATCATCCTCTGCACACCTGCGATGTCCTTCAGCAGAGCACACAATGTGCCAGAGTATTTTCAGTTGAATGCTTCCTATAACATTCAAAACCTAAATGTCCTTCAAGGGCATAATAATAGTTTTTGGAGCATACGTTCAAGTTCAAAGCCTTTATTGTCATATGCACATTTCCCTGTACAATGAAATTCTTACTTTAGTTTCCACTCTGAATGCCGCTAATAGAAAAACAAGAATAAAGTATTGATAAATAAGAAGAAAAAATATACAAAAATACAAATATACAAACAGTGCAATATATAGTATTGCAGTATTACAGTACAAAAAAAACCTTATGGATTTATTTATAAAGAAAAGGCAAAAAAAAAAAAGACAAAAATTGTTAATTATACACAAATCAGTTTTTAGGTTTCAGGCAATTTTTGTTGTGTAACACATCCTTCTTTATTACTTGATTACTAGACTAAAAACACTGAAAAAAATAGTTAATAAAATACATACATAACCATAAACCAAACTTGAGGGATCATTTATCGATTATATTCTGAAATGTATTAAAGGCTGATGTAATATAATATGTTATTTTTCTTTCAGTACTTGTAATTATTGTATTGAAATTATGTGTATATATATATATATATATATATATATCATTTTTAATTTATATATTTATAAATATATAATATATATGTGCGTGCGTGTGTGTGTGTGTGTTTTATATATTTATATTATTGTAATGTATCTCTGAAAACTGTGACATGTAATGTCTGTGAATGTAAATTTCTGGGTACCAGAGAATATTTTCAATTTGAATAGCAAAATCAAGGATGGAAATTATTTCAAATTATTCCACTTTTAATGAAAAGGTGAACAGACCTTATGATGGAGGTAAAATTATTTCTTGATTTTCTGGCTTGGCTTCATTTTCATTTTTATCTCCTCTAGTTATCGCTCTCTCTCATCAGAGTAAACAGCCTAAACTACACAACACTCACACTCACGGTCTTGATTTTCTAAGCAGGTGCTTGAAGTATTGCTGCTGATATTGGCTGATTTCTCAGTTATTGGTTTCATCAGTGTCTCTTTATTCTTCGGTGTGCAGAGCAATAGACCATCTGTTATGCCTTTCACTGAGAGCAACTTCTATTTCTGCTCAAATGCACTCTGTGAACTCCCTCCATTTGGGCTTGTGCTGTGTTGTTTTTGGGGTGGTTCGTTGGCACGGATTATTTATTCTTTCTGTTCTCTTATAATTTGTTTCTGGTTTTGCTCTTCTAGTGATCAGAGATGGTTTAACAGAAAAAGAGATTTCAGTCTGAATGTAAATCTGTTGGTTGTATAGCAAAATTCGTAAAAATAAAAAAATAAAATAAAGCATTATACAGTATATAAATTTAAAATAATGCTTTCCCTCAAAAACCTATTTCATGCTGAACAGAGTGGCGATTTCATGATTAATTTTATTGTTTGTGAGTATAATGTACAAGTTAGCATAACCATTTTAACAAAATATTATTGTTGCTAGATCTATGATCTCTGCATTAGACCATCTTTGGTTGAAGTTGCCTGAATCTGAGCCTTGATTGGCTGAGAATGCTTCTTTCTTTTAGTTTTTTTTTTTCTAGTAGCGGGTGGGGCAGTGGCATAACGGCAGCAGTTAATAAGAATTACACTGGCATCACTCGCTTCACAGCATTTGTCTCAGACACGCTATATTGGATGTCACCAAATAGTCAGTTATGTTTAAAGGGTTAGTTCACCCCAAAATTAAAATTCTGTCACTCTGACCCTGCATAGACAGCAACGCAACTGAAATGTTCCCAGACAGAAACGTAGCAAGGACATCGGTAAAACAGTCCATGTGACATCAGTGGCTCAACTTCAATTTTGCGAAGCTACAAGAATCATTTTTGTGCTCGAAGAAAACAAAAATGACGACTTTATTCAACAATTCTTCTCCCCCGAGGTTACTGTCTTCCGCCATTTTAGAGAGTATCACAACACATACGCACGCTTTACCAAGTGTAAACAACGCAGATTACATTCTTGGGTAGTCTTTCCGCCCTAACGTAAACAGCGCAGATTACGTTCATGCGCGCGCTTTCCCCCCTAACGTAAACAACGCCGATTACGTTCTTGGGTAGTCTCCAAAATGGCGGAAGACGTAACTCGGGGGAGAAGAATTGTTAAATACATTTTTTTTTTTGCACACAAAAAGTATTCTCGTAGCTTCACAAAACTGAAGTTGAGCCACTGATGTCACATGGACTGTTTTACCGATGTCCTTGCTATGTTTCTGGACCTGGAAACATTACAGTTGCGTTGCTATCTTCATTTGTGTTCTGAAGATGAACGAAGGTCTTACGGGTTTGGAACGACATGAGGGTGAGTAATTAATGACAGAATTTTCATTTTGGGGTGAACTAACCCTTTAACTGATAGTTGGGAGGAGCTGGAAGTGAAAGGATGCTCAGTGGGAGGCGCAAAGAGTGAACAAATCAGACAGTGGGATTAACAAAATCTGTCTTCAAATTCGAAGCCTTTTCTTGATATAGTCTGCAGAAAGATAGAAAGATACTATGGATGTGGTTTAGCGTGGATGTGGGAAACATTCTGGTTATCACAGTTACTCATTCATTTCTACTCATTAATTTCTAAAATATCTGAAAGATTTGCTATTTATGAAGGAAAACAATTGCATCCATTGCAGACACATATTCAGATGTCAGATTCCACATGTCTCTCATAATCTTGCTGCTGAATTGCTTGTATTCAGCCTTTGTTTGTTTTTTTGCTACTTTTCAAATGGCTTGTTCTTTTTACTTAATGTAATGTGTAAAACACCATACATATATTTATACATATATTTAAAATACACATACTTAGAATGTTTTTTTTTCTTCTTCTTTCTAAAATAGTTAAATCTGTTGAATATTTCCCCATAGAAAGGAATGGGTAACTACCAGGATTTGTTTTCCCTCGAGGAAGCCTTTTTTCCCCACTGTATCAATAATTTGATTGATTTAATAGGGTAAATTTACTCTTCATTAAACCATGTGTTCAAAGTCCTGTCTCCTTTTTCCTCTCACAGTCCTGATGAAGACTCATGTCAGAAATTCATTCCTTTTATTGGGGTACGTGTCCATTTGCAATCATTGTTTTATCATTTGAAATGTTTTAACTGTTGTATTGAATGTTTTTATAGTGTATTTGTTTTCAACCTGTCTGCAGGTGGTGAAAGTGGGGATTGTTGAACAAACTTCTGCAACATCTGGTTAGTTATACTGTCAATTATATATTAAATATGGCTGTCAGTTGAACATGTTAACCCATATAAAATGCCCATAACACATATAATAATAGTTAGAAAAAAACTAATTTGAAATGGATTAGTTTATTGAACCTTTAGACAAAATCTAAAAAAAAAAGTTTACATGTGTGTTTTTGTTGAGTATCATATTTGATACATCAGGAAAACACACATTAGTTTTACTCAGAGGCCCAAACTGAGCAAAAATATGAAATCTATTGCAGTTACTGGTATATGGCCAAAAGGTAAGATAAGAAATTCTGATAGTTTGTAATGCAAATCAGTGAGATCTTTATAACAGTATAGCAGCTTACTTACATGAAATTAATATACATAGCATTTGTCATTCTATATTTCCCAATAAAATGTCTTAGTAAAATGATATTTAAATGCTTAGTTTTATGATCAAATTTTTTTTTTGTGGGGAGCAAAACATAATGCAGTGCAATGCAGTGATGATGTTCCTCAAAAGCCTGATGTATTATTTTTGATACACTTTATCATGATTTTTCTAAAAAAAAAAAAAAAAAAGATTCTGACAGCCCTTATGTGAAATACTACCAATTGTAAACCTAAACTATTTGTTATATTATTTTTATATATAAATGTTATATTTAAGGTGGTTTATGAATGATTTGTGCATGTGATTGTGTGTTTGTAGGCGATTCAGATGACGCTGCTCCTGTGGGATCTTCTCTTCTCTCGTCTACTCCTCCTGCACAGATCTCCCCATTACTGAAAGAAGCATCTCCAACGCCTCCTTCTTCTCCCTCTGTACACATGTCCAGGTACAAACTCACACAGCGCTAGGTGTCTGAGGTCTCTTTAGTCTTCTGTTTTCTCACCTTGTCTATGTGGCTGCAGTTCTCCTGGAGGAGGTCAGGGGGAGCTGATGGGTCTTCAGGTTGATTACTGGATTGCTCCATCAGAGAGGAAGAAAGACGTGGAGAAGAGAGACTCCAAAAACACGCTCAAGGGCACCTTCCGTTCACTGCAGGTTAGCCGCCTCCCACTGGGCGGAGCAGAGACGACACATCAGCCAACCATGTCCATGACTGTTGTCACCAAAGAGAAGAATAAGAAGGGTAAGACACTGAAACACAATACTTAAAGGTCCCCTGAAGTGCCTTGAAACACGCAGCGTTATTCTATGTGGTGACGTAATTTCAACTGAAACAGGAAGACAGGGCGGGACATATCGAGCAGCCCCGCCCCCCTTTTTAAATTAGCCAATAGCATTTTGTTTATATCTGCACGGGTCAGAGGGAGCCGTTGAGCTCGGTAAAGCCGCATTTGACAGCCACAGTCTAATAGATTACCCCCTAGATTCAATATGAAACTCTTAGTAAAACAAAATAGTGATCATAATCATGCTGAGGCTGTGTAGTTTTAAAAGTGTTTAATATATGCCGACTCGCGCATATGATCAGCTCCGTGTGATCTCATCTCTGGACCGGAGCCAAAGTCCGGATCAGACTGCGTGCTGCAGCGGTTCGCGTGACACAACGTGAAACCAGACCTCATTTGCCCCAATCGAAAGCATACACTGTACAGGAAATACTACACTGTGAACAAGAGTTGGCGTCTATTTTATAGTGTAGGGGGCGGGCGCTTCGGCTTCTAGAGAGCGTTTGATTGGTCAGAAGATTTGATGAGAAGATGAAGTACGATGTGACGTCAAAAAAATCATTGAGCCGTTTTGGCGGAAGTGACGAACTAAAAGCTTTGAATGCTTATATCTTCTAAATGCGAATTTTGTCACTGTTTTGGAGCACACTGCCTTATAGATAAGCTTAAGACTAACATATTGATATTAACACCCAAAAAACTTTCATTTTGATTTCATGGGGACTTTAACACAGTGCCATGGTAACAGTTACAGGAACACATTCAGTTTATAAAATGTATTGTGTTGTTGAATAAGCATCAAACACTCTCTCTGTCTCTGTGCTCAGTGATGTTTCTGCCTAAAAAGACCAAGGATAAGGAGGCAGAGTCTAAGAGTCAGGTGATAGAGGGCATAAGTCGACTCATCTGCACAGCCAAACACCAGCAGACCATGCTGAAAGGTGATCAGCCAATCAGAATTCATCAAAGTAATCACTACAGCTTACAATACAATCAATAAACTGTGCTTATAGGGGTCATATCACAATCGTCATCAGTTTGTTGTGTTATGAAAACATACTGTACCTTTAAGAACTCAAAATTTCCTCCACAGTCCAAAAAGTAACTAAGCTAAAAAAAAAAAAGTGGCACATTTCAGTGCAAACTGTTTTGTGAACCTGCAACAATGTAATTTCAGCCTTTCAAAGACACTGTTATTGAAAGATAGTACAGTTATAAATGTTATTCATATTGCAAACCAGCAGATCATAAATAACAATATATAAATGGACTTTAGAGATTTAAAAATAGTAATTGCACCATCAATTACATTTAATAATTTCAGATAAATTGAATAATATTAATAATGACATTTTTTTTTTTTTATTAATAATAAATTATATACCAATCAACATTTTGGGTTCAGTTTTTTTTTTACATACATCTCTTTATAATTTAGGTATAGATAATGTATAATTTATGTTTGTGGAATTCATGAAACATGGCTAAAGACTAAAGACTGTCGTGTGTGGTTTTGTGTTTCCTCCCTCCAGTGTTGATAGACGGAGTTGAATGGAACGATGTGAAGTTTTTCCAGCTTGCGGCTCAGTGGTCATCTCATGTCAAACACTTCCCACTTGCCATCTTCGGACCCTCCAAAGGGCCTTACTGAACTACAGCCTCATATCTTCACTCCTCTACGCTACGGCTGCCTTTACACTCAGTGCTGCCTCATGTTTTTATTTAAAATTTCTGCTTTCTCACGGTTTGTGTCTGTGCTATTTTTGTTTTTATTTTGTTGACATTTGATTGTTCTTTTATGAAAGACTTGATGCAGTCTTGGCAACAGGGCATATCTTTTTGTACTATGTATGTTAAAACCCTCCAGTGTTTAAAGTGAAATAACTAATGAACTGAATCTTTAAAACTGATCTAACTCCGTAACTAGTGAGTTTTTGGGTGGTTCTCTGTCATTCTGCAAAGCTGTATCCACACATTTCAGCAGCCAGCACACTTGTGGGAGAACAAACCAGCAAAAAGGGAGAAAATAACTGCTTTTGTTATATTAAAAGGACAAAATCTGGATTGGATTTTGCTTCGGATGGATTTTCCAGATGGCTTGGCTTTATCCTGAAGACGCCTGAAGTGTTTTCTCCATCTCTCTTGCTCTATAACCTCAGCGAGGTCAAAGAGTTTTTCAAAGGTTAATTGTGTGTTTGTGTTGCAGTCTCCACCTCGTCATATGTGGTTACTTGGTTTACTTTGTAGGTTTGTTTGTATGTATGTGTGTGTGTGAATGTATTCACTAAAGGCACTAAACGCTAAAGCACTTTTAAAATATTACTAGATTGTGTTTTTGTTATAATGCTTCCTGTGGTGCACAGCGCTGTTCACTCCAGCTAAAAACTGCAGCAAAGCTTTGTGGGAACTTTGGAGACAGAAACTGAGTGTCTGTGTCTACATTAGACAGACCGTGTCAAACCTGTGTGCTGGACTATTTAAACACTTTTTTTTGTTTGATGTAACTGTTTCTTAGAATGAAATGTACGTTCAGTTTTGTTTGTTGGCTTGTTTGAGGATGTTTTCTTGTGAGATGTCTAATTTCCCCCAGATGCTGTATTGGATTTAGAATAATGTGCCTAAAACATGGAGAATTTTTAAAGCAGTGATTCTCAAGAACATGTCCAGATCATACTTCACCCCAAAATCAAAAGAAAATAAATTTTTAGATTTTTAGGACATCTAATTTAATTTTTACTTTTTATTTAAATTTTTTGTAATATTTGTTGTACTACCTTGGTTTGTCTAAAAAACAAAAAACAAAAAACAAAAAAAACAAAAAAATATATATATATATATATATATTAAAAAAAATAATTGTGATTTTATTATTTTCAGTGCTATATTTAATGCATTGGGTATCGTGAAATAAAAATGAACAGTACTTTTATACATTTATTAATCTTGGTTAATTTCTAAATATACATTTTTTACATTTCAAGTTGTATAAATTAACATTAGTTCATGTATTTTGAATTACTAATGAATAATTACAAGTTAACATTAACCTAGATTAATAAACACTGCAAAAAAATTTTCATTGTTAGTAAATGAGACCAAATGCATTTATGTTAACGAACTGAACCTTCTTGTAAAGTGTTCTAATCTAACGAGAATCACCTTTGAGAATAATAAGAAGCAAAATATCTAAACATTAGAGTAATGAGACTCTATTTGTCACTATTCAGAAAAACTTAATGGCCAAAAAACAGTCTGGGGTGAAATATGACCTGTAGATGTTTCATGAACACTAAACAAACAAGCTACATACATATGTCATTATATTTTAATCTCACTAAATGCAGCATAAGAAGTAAGTGTTCCACAGCCTGTGTGATGCTAATATGTAGATGGTAGTGTCTCAGTGTTATAAAGGTATTAGACATGCCTTTTTCATAAGGCCTTTAGCGAGGCTCTGAACTATCTCTTAGACTCTGCTTTGCAGGATGGTGAGATTGTTTAGTCCTCATTACTCATATAGAGTAGTTTTAAATCAAATTATTTTGTGCCTCACTTGCTCCTTAGAAAGCCAAAATATGTCAAAACAAACAAATTCAACCCGTGAGGGAATCATCCCATAATTCAACTCACAGACTCGCACTTGTCACAATTAATGCAAGCAAGTGGCAAACATGTGCAATGATGTCAGTGCTGTTCTATTTCTGGTCAGCAGAGGTTTCGGTGCAATTTAATGGAAATATTTCATGCTTGTCCAGACTGTAAAAGGTTCATAATTTATACACAGTATGTAAGGAGCTTTGCTGATGATGTCAGCTTATAGTTAGAGCTGTGCTAAAGAACTGTCTGTTTGCCGTTTAAATGTATACCTGCCACTAGTATTAGTTTTTTTTTATTTTGTTTATTATTAAAAAATGTAATTTAAAAATCTTTTAGCTTTTTAATTTAAAAGTTCTGCTCCAGTTTTAGGGGATTACTCAGATAAATTTGTATTTGTAAGAAAAATTGTTGAAAAAATACTACCACTGTAATTCCTTAGTGGAATTTAATAAAACTACACACACTAAGATTTGTTTTGGTCCCTGCTTGTCATTTGTACATTTACATTTATTAATTTAGCAGATGCCTTTATCCAAAGCAACTTACAATTGAGGAAAACAAGCGATTTGTCATAAAGAGGCAAATAAACACAGGAAATGCTCATAATACAAAGTTTCAGACATTGTTCAGATTAGTGCAATCTAGACATCTTCGGGATTCAGTATTCCGGATGGGGGTGGGAAGATTATTCCACCAGCCAGGAACAGTGAGCTGGTCATCAAAGATTACGCCAGGATTTCTGACCAAACTTGATGGGGTAATTGTTGATGAACCTCGCTGGATAGTGAAATCATGCTGTAGAGTCGGAGTGGCAGGGAAGACGAGACACTCGGTCTTTGCCAGGTTGAGCTGTAGGTGATGTTCTTTCATCCATGCCGAGATGTCCGCCAGGCAGCCTGAGATCAGTGCAGCTACTGTTGGATCATCTGGTTGAAATTAAAGATAGAGCTGTGTGTCATCAGCATAGCAATGGTAGGAGAAGCCATGTGCTTGTATGATGGGTCCCAGTGATGTAGTCACTACATCACTACATTGTAGTGTATATGGAGAAGAGGAGGGGTCCAAGAACTGATCCCTGAGGAACCCCTGTGACCAGTTGATGTGATCTGGATACCTCCCCTCCCCAGGCCACCCTGAAAGACCTACCAGTGAGACAGGATTCAAACCAGCGAAGTAGAGTTCCTGTGATGCCCAGAGATGAGAGGGTGGACAGAAGAATCTGATGATTCACAGGATCAAAGGCAGCAGATAGATCCAGCAAAACGAGAACTGATGATTTGGAATCAGCTTTCGCAATCCGCAGGGCTTCAGTGACTGACAGTAATGCAGTCTTAGTTGAATGGCTACTTCTGAAACCTGATTGGTTAACGTCCAGTTGGTTATTCTGTGAAAGAAATAAAGACAACTGGTTGAAAACAACTCATTCAAGTGTTTTCACTATGAATGGAAGGAGAGAGACAGGTCTGTAACTATTTATATGCCTCTTGAATGAATATTAAATGGATATTCGATACTTGCACCAAATGTTGATCAAAAACTCGACTAGAAATGCTGATCTGAGACTTGATTTAGAGTCTATAACTGATAATATTTTCTCTGAATATCACAAGATTTAGAATACCACAAGTTTAGAATACCCACTTTTTTTTTTCATTTTACATCATGTTGTAAAATTAATTAAAAAAATGTTTTAATTAAATAACAATTAAATATAAATCGTTTGAATCTGAATTCAGTCTAAACAATTTAATATGTAATTTATAATTTTTCAGAGTTTTAGTTTATATATGTGTGTGTAATATATCTTTAAATATATAATTTAAAAATAAAAAATGTTCTCTTTTGATATGAGAGTGAATTTATGAAGAGTAAAGAGATTTATTATTTATTGCATTTTAATAAGTAAATAAAATATAAGTAATTTAATATGGTTTCTATTCATGTTTTAATTTATATTAAATATTTAGTGTTACATTATTAACATCCTATTGTAAATATTAAATATAATCTTTTGAATCTAAATATTTAATTATAATTTAATATGTAATTTATAATTTTATTCTAATTTAATCTTAATCTTTTAATATAACAATAAATTAATGAAGTGTAAAGAGGTTTATTTATTTATAGGTTTATTTTTTGCTTTTTTTTGCATATTTAACTAAATAGATATTAACATATAAACAAATAAATACTTAAATAGATATGTACACATACAGCATACTGGTTCATTTTTTAATAACAATAAAATTTTTACACATATAGCATACTGGTTCATTTTTTAATAACAATAACATATGCAAAAAAAAAAAAATCAAGCAATACATATTAAAAAGCCACAAGTGTTCACAAATTATATAAACTGAAACATTTATTATATAACATTCAATCAGAAAGTACAACAGGGGTTCTGGTTCTGAGTTAGTGATCCGGTATTGTGTAATATTCGGTTCCTGTGAGAAACTGTTCCAGTGGGTGGAGTTTACATGAATATTAACTCATTTGCAGTGTGTTCACTACAATGCTTGAAACAAATATATAAAATCTTGTTTATTTTGTATATAGCCAGTGTTTCTGTTACCTACATAAGCTACATACATACGGAGAACATGTTTTCTTGTAGTTAAAATGTTAATATTGTAATCATTATAATTTGAAATTGATTATATAGGCTAATACAGTGCATAAACCTTAGTAGATTGGTGATTCCCAAACAGGCTTATGTAGAAAGATTTTGATGTTTAAAAAAAAACTTAAAATATAATAATAGTAATAGGAGAAAATATGTGACAGAAGTAAATGTGCATTTAGTGTGACATTAATTATAATTCTGATATTCAGAATAATTAAAAAGATACTGATGGGGCTGTGGAGGATGGTAAAAACTGGTTATTTAAAAAAGAAAGAAAGAAATAATGACACAGAATGCTCACACCAATTCTATTAGGCCACAGATACATTTGTAGAGGTTTGTTTCAGGCATTGTTATATACAAACTGTAGCTTACTAGTCACCAATTACAACTAGGATAATCAAATCAAACTATTAAAAATAAAGCCCCACAAATGAAATATATAAAAAGCTAAACACACCAAAGAGTAAAAACTATATTAGGTAAGATAGGTTATTAGCTTACTGATTGTTTTGCTGTGCCTGTAATCAATCAAGCAAAACATGTTACAGACTATTTATCATATTACACAAATATGGATTGTTTTGGCACTGTTGCAGTTAATGCTAATTAATGTGTAACATTGAAACTT